ACCCTCCCTTAAAATACAATAAATAAATAAATAATAAAAAATTTAAAATTTAGTTATGTAGCATAATGTACTAAGTAAAAACATAGAATCTACTATTTTTCTCTGTATACCTAAATATAATTTCTAGCTTACGTGCAGTTTTATGTCTAGTTTGTGTGATAATGATGTTTATATTAAATATATATCTTAAAATATAAAAGCATTACTATTTTAACAAGTCACTCTTCTTATTTTTTGTGGTCATTGCCTAAGACTGTGGCATTAAATATTTCACCAATATCTAAATATTTGGTGGTGGAAAGATATTAAATGGATTTGGAGTGAAATCTGATACTGACAAGACAGAAGGCACACCAGGAAAACCAGGCAGACCCCGTACCTCTTTACTGCAAAAGCTAATCGCTTGCTTTTGATTGACAAATAAACTTAAAAGTTAAATAAACTCTCTAAGAAGTGCGTATTTTGTACTCACAAAGGCATTATCCAGCACCAAAAAGAGACCAACGTACTTCTGCCTCTGAAGAAAGTCTTCTGGCTTTACAAAATATTAAAAAAAAATCAGTGTTAACTTATGTCTTTATTGTAACAGATTCAGTCTTGCGAAACATCTTTTTCCCAGAGAGAGACTAAGTCGAAGGATAAGTAACGGGCAAGCTCTGCAGACACCAGGCCTCGCCGACACCCCTGGTGCGTCGTGTCACTGCTGAGACGACTGAACTCAAAGCTGCTGCAGCCTCACCTTCACGCTTTTGAGGGACCTAGACGTTCTCCGATGGCCTCGTTTCCCGCCAACTCTTCTCACACCACACATGCGATTTGCCATGTCCGGGTCCTCCTGATTGTAGGTCAGGACCACGTGCTCGCTCCTGTCGGCTCTCCGCAGAGGCTTGATCAGGTATCTTTGGCCACGGTGTGTGAAGTAACCTCTGTGAGAGCGGGAGACTCGCGCTTCAGGATGCCCTGGTCTCCGACTCTTACACGCCTGCTCAGGGTGGCTCAGGACCTCCTCCCCCACCCAAACGTGTGCGCACAGTGCGTCCTGAGCCCACCCTATGATGTTATAATTATATTTATCAGCATTAAAATATTGCTTATCGGATTCACTTAGACAATCTGAAGAACTGCTCAAAGGAAGCAATCCTAAAGAGTCTGGCATTTACAGCATTAAATTGCTGAGGATAGTTTCAGCTTATTTATTCATGTAGTAAATTTTTCTTGGCAGATGGCAGGAATGTAATGGGGAATAGAGTAAAGGAATGTATAGATGAGGCATTGCACAGAGGAGCACAGGGACTAGAGTGCCACCCGGATCAGCTAACAGGCTAGCAGTAGCTTAAGGAATCTCCCCTCTTATAGCTAGTCATTTAGAGAGAGAACACGAATCCATGTGATGTAACATTACAAGCTCAATGTAAAATCCATTTAAAAATCATATCAGTAAAGGTATTTTGTGATATGGAAAAGACTTATGTCATACTCTGCGCCAGCAATATTGAAAGAATAGTTGCATGTTTTCTTCATCTTTTATTTGTCAGAAAGATACGCTTGTCTATACACACAGAAGGCTGAAACCCAATAAAGAGCTAGTAACATTAATCACTCAGAGGTAAAATTTTATGGGAGCTGTTATTTTCTGATTTGTGCTTCCTTTTACTCTCTGAATTTTCTCTAACTGCCAAGAATTGCTTACTTAAATAGGAACACACACATATACTTTAAAAATTAAGTTCAAAAGGGACAATTACAGAGCAGAGTCTTCATTAAACCATGATTGCTTCAAAGACAGTAGTAGATGAACTCTGAAATGGATCCCAACGTGACCAAGTCCAGAATGTAGCACTCTCACATAACAGAGAGGGTCTGTGCTTTGAGAGTAGCAGATGATGAAATGATTGCAGTGGAGTTACTTTATTTCTCATCTTAACCTTATAAAAAATGATGCTTGACATTTCATAATTCCCATAGTGTCCCTCACCTCAGGCCATCACAGGTGCTAATGCGGGCAGTGGAATCCTTTTCATTCAGGACGCGACCTTCATAGTAGCAGTGTTTCTGTAATTAAAAAAAAAGTAGATACACTTTAGAGGTACATATTTACACATAAATAGATATGGTTCACACACACACACACACACACACACACACACACTGCAAGAGTGTATCAGTCACAGTAATGTGCAAAGCTGCCATCTTGAATGTGTATAAAAGTTCAAGTAGTGTCTACGAACTTATCACTCTTCAGAAACAAAAACAGTGTTTGCTCAGCTGGTATCTGGGTTACTTTTTACACACTAATTGCACTAAGATAAAGTCCAGGACTTAGCACCTAGGTAGGTATGTGCGGTAAGTGGCTGTCACTGCTGAGAAACAGCCAGTCCTTTGGGATTTACTAGATTCTGGCAGGTTCTCAGCTTCCTAGAAGTTTGCCCTGTGTGTGTGTATCAAAGGTCTGTGTGAGTAAAATCAGGCTCCTATTTTTCAAACTAACTGGTTTATTTTTCCATTGCCATTGGGTTAGTAATGAAACCCCTCCATCAGATTCTAGATCACATAATATTAGTCTACCGCCAAAGACTTATACATGATTGGTGATCCATGTTATTTTGGGGCCACATATGTGACATCATCTACAAAAGGTAATGGATGATCTCTGATTCAGCGACTTGCTGTAGAGTTGGAAATCGGTCATGTATGTGCATGTGTCTTCGTTGGAAGACTCCTCATCAGAAATATTTTCTTATGGAAGATTTGAAAAATGTACCACACTGAGACATCACCACCCATTAGTATTTGAGCATGAATTAATTTATCAGATACTTTCCACTGAGGACAAATGTTACGAAGATCATATGCAGAAAATGAATGATTTGATAAGAGGATGAAACAAACTGCTAATTTGTAACAGAGTTATTGTGGGGTCTTTGTTTATAGAGCCACATATATTTAGGGTACCATCAAGGGTGCCTGTGAATGAGAATCTTAGTTTGCTCCAATCTCTTGAATGAGCTTTTCTGTGTTACGTCCTGCTCATCTCTAATTCTCTGCAATTATTCCTCATATTTTGTAACAAAGTATAATAAGTATGATGAGAAAGAATAGACATTTGGTCCTCTATCTCTGACATCTGACTTTAGTATGTCAGGGAGGCTGGACCAGATACAAACATATTCGTTCCATAACTGATACTCCATTGTTGACCCTAAGAAAAAATGAACATTTACTGTTTCTTAAAGAGACAGGAAATAGTGGCATGGCCTTTCAATTACCAACAAGGGTAAAATATTTCTCACTCTTACATAAAATGGTCTAGGGACAAGCGGACTTTGGGTTGCTTGCCTCTCCTACCTTGTAAATGCTGTAATTTTGTGCCCATTTTCTCAGGTGATATGTGAACACTTTCATTTTAAATGATATTTTGTAGTCATCCTGAGATCTATGCACTTTGTAAAGTCAAAGATAGATCCTGGAAGAGTCCCAAGGAGTCTTGAGATCCTACCATGTTCTGAGAGCTCCTGGTTATTTCATCCCCTCTGGGTGAGTAATATGTTTCAGTGTAATCTGGCCCCAGGACATGCCTGTGGAGAGCAGAAGGTGACACAGTACACTCAAGATGCTGGCAAAGGTACATTTACCTGACACATTTTGTAACAAAGTATGACACCCATGATGAGAAAGAACAGACACTGGGCCCTTGATTTCTTTCTAACATTGCAACTCATATCAAAGAATTAATAATAATTAAATTGGAGGACAGAAATGTCCTCAGGTGCTTTTCAGTAGCAAATTTTTCTATTTTACTGATAAATCAGTCACTTTGGGATTCTTTCTTTTAAAGTGAAAACAAAACCACAATAAAAACAATACAGAATTTCAAAACAAAATAGAAAATTGACAATGATTGTTACATTGCACATTGTTACCTTCAGTGAAGTTTCTCAAGACATAGGCATGCAAAATTGATCAGACAATACAAGCACTAACTGTTCCTTTCAGTGAACTAAGAGAAATCGGTAGTACAATTACAGCTTTCTTGTGCTCATGTACATGTCTATTTTCCCTTTCCTCTTTTCTCTTTTCTGCATTGTAGTTACTCTTTCTTTTGAGCAGTTTCTTTCCCTATCACTATAACTATTGTACCTTTTGGATTTTATTTACTCTTTCAGTTTCTTAAACTGGAAGATGATGCTATATTTATACATGCAAATCTGGTTTATTTCCTTTATGAGTATGGTCTCTAGTTGCATCCTTTTACCTATAAAAGCCTCAGGCTTTACGACAGAGTAATATACTACATTGTACACAAATACTACATCTTGGGGGGTGAGGTGATAGCTCAGTAGAATAAATGCTTGCCTGGCAAGCTCAAGGACCTGAATTCAATCCCTGGTTCAAAAAAATAAATAAATAAAAGAGAGAGAAAAAATATTGAAAAAGCAACCAAACAAACAAATAACACATCTTATTTTTTATGTATTCCTTGATTGATGTGTATTTGAACTGTTTCCAGGATTTAGCTATGACAAATTGTGTGGAGATA